CACGCACACACACACACACACACACACACACACACACACACACACACACACACACACACACATACACATACACACACATACACTAAAGGGGTTACCCGGCAATGTACAACTCTATCTCCTTGCCTTTCATCTATCCTTACTATTTTTATCATCTATCTGCCTATCTATATCCATGTATCTGCCTATCTATCCATGAACCTATTCATTCATATATCTATCCATTTATCCATCCATATATATATATATATATATATATATATATATATATATATATATCCATCTAGTCTTCACTGTAATTATCTTCCCACTCCAGTAACTCACGAAAGAGCTCACAGTAAACTCTACGTTAATGATATCCCTGATTTCATTTCAGACAGAAAACCACATGTGGGGTAGGGTTACAGTCTGATATTTCTTACACCATGTAACATAGGCCTACCCCAACCAGCCTATGTCCGTCCCATACCCCAAACCATTCCCCCCTTGCAAGTCTGGGTGAGGCTACCCCCAAACGTCAGGTCTTCAACTTTCCCCCGCCAGACAGACAGGCTATAAGGGATTTTCCCTCATATATATTAGACGTCATATACAAATTTCCTCCTATTTTATATACATAAAAGTTTCCACATAATAGGTCGCTCAAAATTGTCCACCTAGGCGTTATACTGAAGGCATAGAAAATTGCGTTGGAGTTTGCTAGTTATGAAAATATTATGTAACGTTCAGGCGATATTACCCAGTTGCCCTAGATGATCATATTTTATGAAGCCAAAGTGCGCGTGTCGGAACACGAGGTTATGCTCGTCCGAACACAAAGCGACGGGCGTCCGCACGCAAAGTGATGAGCGTCCGAACGAAGGGACTCGCTCTTCCAAACAAGAGGCCAAGCACGTCCGAATCCGTAGATTCGGACGTGCTTGGCCCGTGCTATAGCCCGTGCCATAGCACGTGCCGTGCTATAGCCCACCATAGCCCGTGTTATGGTAAGCCATAGCACGGGCTATGGTAAGCCCGTAATGTGTGCCTCTAGAAAAAAGCACATATAGCTATAAGTCAAATCAATTATCAATTTAAATTACGACATGACTTGGGGAAGTAAATACTATCTTGGAAACAGGATTGTTGATGTGTGAAAGCAATTACTGGTCTCCAATTACCTGTTACACAATAGACGCTGAACTGATTGTTTGAGGCATGTGTTAGACACGTGTATGAGTAGGTTTGGTTGAATATAAATACAAGCTACCTCTTATAGAACCAATAGATCATCTTATATATATTCTTACGTTCTTCATATATAGAGAGAGAGTCAGTGTAACGAAAATACTCTTAATGTGTTAAACTTTATTTTTTAAGGCGCAGACACGTTTAAACATTGCAATATATTTAGATTTAATCAAACTTTTTGATACTTTTTGTTTAATTTTAACTGTATTGTAATTTACCACTCATTAAACATAGAAGTAACATCAGTTTTGTTCAGAGTATGAACCAGTCACAAGTCGAACCAGTTACAGAAAATACAGGTTCTTTGATAAGACTTCTTTTGTTTATCAAATGTAAATGATTTAAATATTAAATAATAGTAATGAAATTAAAATAGGGCAATTTATAGCGTTATCTCGGGCTGCTGCTGCTGATGGTGATATGATGGTGATGGTGATGCTGTTACTGATTGGTGTCTCTCCTCCTGTTTGTGATCTCTGTAACAGCTTATTTATCGTTAGTTGCTGCTATTTTACCGTTTTCATTTGGATATTTCGTTTGCCTCTTTCACACACACACACACACACACACACACACACACACACACACACACACACACACACACACACACACACACACACACACCCACACACCCACACACCCACACACACTCACACGACTGTAGCACGCCGCATTGCGAAACCCCCCCAAGAATTTCACACTAACCTGACTTAGGTCATCTCGACTAATTTATTCCAATTTACAGCAGTATTGTGTGGATGCGCTGCACCTCCAAGTGTTGAATTGTATACAGCCGCCTTGCCTGTCTAGCAACACTACAGGTAAACGATGATATACTGGCTTGGTATCCTCTAGTAATACCGTTGTGTTGCTCTCTAGAAACACACAATATTTTGGTCGTATTGGGGTCAGAGAGCGGAGGTTGGGTAGGGGGGAAATGGGTAATAGGGGAGAGTAAAGGTAAGTGAGGGAAGGAGATAGGGTATGATAGGTAGGGAGGTGGTTTGATGGTGAGAGAGGGATGGGTAAGGGCTTAGAGAATTGGTTGTAGGGGGGGAAGGGGGGATATGGAGGGGAGGCAGAGGGATGTGATGATTAGGGAGCAATTGAACGATAACGACGTAACAGGCAGTAACGACGTGGTCGTTCGACGCACAATGGAACAAGGTGGTTACGTAGAGCAGTACGCCACATAGCATCTCAGGCGTATATAGGTCTCTCAAACCTCCATATAAAGGATTAAGAGAATTAAATCCTTAATTTTAAATTTTTGGGAGAATTTAATATATGGAGACGGCCCTGGGACGTCATACTCCGGACTGGATTGATGGAGAATCAATGCAGCGATTGTGCCCTAATGTATGAAGGTGAGGGAGGGAGGGAGGGAAAGTGATGGAGAGGGTCAGAGAGAGGGAGGGAGGGAGGTAGAGTGGACCAGTTGAGACTCAGTTATGAAGAGAGAGAGAGAGTGTGAAGAAGAGTTTAATATAACATTTAATTGATTTACAAAGTACATAGATAACCAAGACATATATATATATATATATATATATATATATATATATATATATATATATATATATATATATATATATATATATATATATATATACCCAGCACAGGATCAATATATCAGAAAACAAACACGAATCAATGGACATTGATGTTTGAATTAGAATTGATGAGTTTATAGCACATAAGATACATTCGAATAATATTTCTAGAGCTTAGATGACCCGATTTGTACAATCCCTGATATGTTGACATTATCAAATGAAGAACAGGGCCACATTAGCTAATGGGTTTCCGACCATTAATGCAGATGAGAGTTCTACACACAATACATCATGCCAGTGTCGTGTTTTCCCTTATATAATGTATCCATTAATACGGTTTATTAAATTAGAAATTAAAAATGGCATAATTTAATTGATTTATTAAGTACTAAATCATAGTAGGCTTAGCTGTTTTCATTATAGAGTATATAATGTATAATATAGAAAATGGATCGTATATTGTGTATTATATAAAACGAATTGGGAAATACGGATCACATTACCGCATTATATGTGGAAATGTGAACCCTATACCCATCCTAGGGGAGGTAGTGAACCCAATATACCCATCCTTCGGGTGGTAGTGAATCCCATACCCATCCTACGGATGGTAGTGGACCCCATACCCATCCTACGGGTGGTAGTGGACCCCATACCCATCCTACGGGTGGTAGTGGACCCCATACCCATCCTACGGGTGGTAGTGGACCCCATACCCTTCCTACGGGTGGTAGTGGACCCCATACCCATCCTACGGGTGGTAGTGGACCCCATACCCATCCTACGGGTGGTAGTGGACCCCATACCCATCCTACGGGTGGTAGTGGACCCCATACCCATCCTACGGGTGGTAGTGGACCCCATACCCATCCTACGGGTGGTAGTGGACCCCATACCCATCCTACGGGTGGTAGTGGACCCCATACCCATCCTACGGGTGGTAGTGGACCCCATACCCACCCTATGGGTGAGAGTGGACCCCATACCCACCCTACAGGTGGTAGTGGACCCCATACCCATCCTACGGGTGGTAGTGGACCCCATACCCATCCTACGGGTTGTAGTGGACCCCATACCCATCCTACGGGTGGTAGTGGACCCCATACCCATCCTACGGGTGGTAGTGGACCCCATACCCATCCTACGGGTGGTAGTGAACCCAATATACCCATCCTTCGGGTGGTAGTGGACCCCATACCCATCCTACGGGTGGCAGTGGACCCCATACCCATCCTACGGGTGGTAGTGGACCCCATACCCATCCTACGGGTGGTAGTGGACCCCATACCAATCCTACGGGTGGTAGTGGACCCCATACCCATCCTACGGGTGGTAGTGGACCCTATACCCATCCTACGGGTGGTAGTGGACCCCATACCCATCCTACGGGTGGTAGTGGACCCCATACCCATCCTATGGGTGGTAGTAGACCCCCATACCCATCCTACGGGTTGAAGCTCCTCGTGTCTGCCTCAACAGAAAATACTCAACTTTGTCATACGTTATATCGTTAACATGAAAGATCAATACAGTGATAAGCACACGTGTAGGGCCATCTCCCTTGGCCACAACTCTAAATGTATTATTTTGTTAGTTGCCGCATTATATGTTGCTATAGATACCTTGAGGTTACCTTGAGGTGCTTCCGGGGCTTAGCGTCCCCGCGGCCCGGTCGTCGACCAGCCCTCCCGGTCGTCGACCAGCCCTCCCGGTCGTCGACCAGGCCTCCAGGTCGATGGATGGCAGAGAGAATTATGTCAACAAATGAGTGGAGTTTTGACCAATGAAACTCGTCGTTACAAAACGCCAATTCACTCGTACTCTAATCCAATACTTCGACAGAAACAAATGTGCCAATCTGCACTTTACAAAATATTGATGTGTGTGTGTGGGGGGGGGGGTAAAGGAATATTTTTTCCTTAATCTTTAATCTTCTTAATCTTTCCTTAATATTCTTGTATTGTGCTTTCAGTGACATACAAAGGAATATTCTCCCATCCCGAGTTGGCCCAAGCGGCTCCGTCCAGATACACGTAAGATTATTTACTGAGAGAATAAGAACTTGAGGCGGAGGGAACCACTAAACGACCCAAGGACCACCTGTCCCACTGGGTGTTGGGGCGAGTGTGGGAAGACTCTGCTAAGCCACTAAGTGTCACGGGTCCATAATGGTCACTTTGCCTCGTTCTCACCGGTAGTTAAGGTCTGTTGGGCCACAATAAATATATTAACTACTAATACGACGTTAACTTTAGGGAAATAAAGGTTATTAGAGGATTACGAGTGAGTGTGTAAATACTGGGGTAAAGAAGGGGTGTATTATGAGAGGCAGCGACCATGAGGAGGGTGTGAGGGAGGTGTTGAGGCGGGCAGGTGGGGCCCAGCTCCTCACTCTCCTCCTCGCCTTCACTCCAGTAACATCGTCTCTCCTCGTCTTGCAAGGTATTAAGTTTATGTTCTTGACTTCTTTGTTATTAGTTTATAGTATGTTGTAGTTATTTAGGTAAGTTATCAGTTAAGTGTTATCTTGCCCCTTATTTGCTCCAAATTGTGATGGCTTTGGTTGGTTATAGTAATATTTATTAACCAACACTTAAATTTCATATTCAAAGTGCTACGTGCAGCCTTGAAACGCCGTACTAGATAGGTTTTAATCATTACTTAAACTTGTTTTTCCCGCGGCCGTTATCTTGTTGTAGTAGTTAGGAATACTTTACTTTAATCCCTACGAAGACTTTAAGCTTGATAAGCAAATGTTTGTAGATTTTTAATAGTACTAATTGGGGGGGGGGGGTTATTTTTTAACGGGACTCTTAGGAAATTGTGCACTTAAGAAACACATTCTGTGATTGCACTATGGTATATTAAGGGAAATATCTGGGTAATTTTGTTTCTCTAAAAAAAAAAAAAAAAAAAAAAAAAAAAAAAACCTCTCGACCCTGTATCTCTACACAACCCTGGTAGGAAAAAATTAGTTTAAGGTCCTCTTGAGCAATACAGGGTTTTGAAAGTAAAATCTCCACTCTTTTTAATCCAAAGAGTGGAACTTGACTCGGTTCCAGTTAAGACTTTTTAGTTGTGTAGTACTTTAAGACTGGCGTCTGATAACTGCAAAAAACTTCTGGTAAATTCTTGAATTGCTCTGAAAGGGGGGGGGGAGGCTCCGTCCTTGACTCAAAATGCTTGGCACAATTCCACACTTCCATTAATGGTACTGTAGTGACTTGGCCATTAATACTCGCTAGCTTAATTAGTATTAACGTAATGCACGATATTTCTACTGCCTTAATAATTGCTTTCTGGTACTCTACCCTTGCTACATTGTTCCTTGTAGCTAGAGCTTGACATGCAATACAAAGTTAATGTATATGCCCAGCTGCACATGTATCTTCCCCCCCCCCCCCTTTTGTCTTGCCTTTTATTCTATAAATGTTCAAAATCGGTAGCATCGGAAAATTCTAAGGATTCCTTTGAAAGGTTGACACAACCTTCCATTTGAATACGCCAGTGTTTTAATTTTCATGTCCCGGGTAAATTTTTTTTTATGGTTACGTGCAATCTATTGCACTAAAAATTTCAATGTTTGATTGCATTGATACATAGAATTTTCATAGATTTAGACTTTATTTTATTTTTATCTTTTCAAATTGCATTGGAAAAGAGCAGTTTACCGTTCACTTCGCGAGTGTTAAATGTTTTATATCATTTAGTTTAACTTATTTTTTCAGTGATGGTAACGTCCGATCACTTGAACGCATCGGACAAGAGATGAAGGGATGAGGGGCGTAGAGAACAGGGAGGGGCAGGTGAGTAGAGAAAGTTTGGTAGGTTAAACGTCAGGCAGCGAGCAGCCGCGTCTAACGACCTGGTTGATCAGTCTTGTTTAACTCCACAACCCCCCCCCCCCCGTCCCCACCTTTTCAACTCTAAAATAACAATTGGGGTTCCGTAGAGGAACATAATTGCCCCTTAGTCTGGCTTCCCATCTTTGAAGCATTTCTAAACTCAATTTCACTGCTAGAATGTTACCGGAATCATTTGCATAAATTTCCCTAAAATAGTCTCGCCTTCAAAATTCTTTAGATTGTATTGGTAACGTATTTTGTTGACTAGCTCTAGTCTAGTACTATGACCGAACCATCCTTGTATTTACTTCTAAACTAGTGACTTTATTTAGAGCTGTAATCATAATACTGATGGGTATAAAAAAATGCCTAATTAGTTCACCAGTTATTGGTAGACCGGCAAGAATGTCTGAAAATACCAGTCAAAAGTAATTACGTTAAATCTGAAACAGTCGGTGACTAGGAACCATTACTTACCTTGATACTATACCAAACGTCTGTACTCTTGCCTTTTGAAAGGCTTTAGTTGTAATGGTTTGCCACTAGGTTCTGGAGACTACCATATCATTGACTATAATCTACTTAGTAATTTAATAATTAAAATTCACCCCCTCCCCCCTTCACTCCCACTAGTTTAAGTAATCCGTAAGATTAGGCATTTTCAGTTGGGTTAAAAGTTTAAGTTATCTTCAGAATCTGAATTTATTTTTGTTCGGAACGGGTATATTCGGTTCTTTAACAGGTGTACATATTGCAGATGCGGTGTTCTGTTCAAATATTGCTGGCCTCTTCCAGTTCCTGCGACGGCGCTGGAACCAATCGTATTGGCGTGTGCCTTTCCATTGGAGACTTTCAGCGATGTGGAGAGGGGGTAACGTCTCCCCCGAATCAACCTACCCTGACTTTGCGCCCTGGTGAGGCCACTCCAGACCAGACAGACAACCAGAGCGCAACTCCGTAGT